TTTAACCATTTTTTATTCGTTGTTGATTTATTATAATAAATATAAGTACCTAACTTATTAATTGTATTTACTGATTTATATTTTTTAAATATTTTTGACGTCTAATTGTCGTCACGTCCAAACGGCCACGTATATTTGTCCTAGMTCGTAATAATTAAGTTTGGCATTAGGCACTAATTCGCTCTATATAATCCATATGTAAAAAGTACGAATTATTTATTGTAAACTGTACCTAGTAGGTTACATTATACCTAGGTAGTAGGTATACTGACTTAATATCTTTGTAAGCCAGTATCTATATTCTATAGTACTTAAATCATAGACATAATATAGATTTATGCCCAGTGGCGTAGCCAGAATTATAAAATGTAAGAGGAGGGTTAAGTTTAAATTAAACCGAGTGTTTTATACTTATCGTAGGAATATGACTAATACAAATAATAGATTTATTAAGGGGGGAAGGAGAATGGCAATGGAACATTGGCATTAAACACCCAAAAACCTCTGGCACCGCTACTATACATTAAAGCATGTATAGGCGAGGTTAGGCGATGATTTAGTTATGATCTAAGGCGATCATAATAATATTATACAATTATAATGGAGCTATGGCCTTTGAGCCACCGCTCAATATTTTGARGTAGGTTAGGTAACTACAATATTATGTTACTATGTTAGCTACGAATCGACGAAAAGTGGYCTTTACTGTGCTAGCAACTAGTTGTATATTTATCCAAATACCTTATTAGATCTAAGCCATGGACCACGGTTTAAGATAGAYGGTTTCGGGTTTTCAATCTTCAAGCCACGGACTTTATCTAAGCCATTAGCCAGATACATTCAGTAATAAATAATAATACTGATAAGAGTGACATAAGTAATAACTTATCACTGATAAAAAGTGTTAATTTCACAACAGAATATTCTATAATTTCACTAATTTCAAATTTGTCTTTGTCAATTTGTTTGTTTCCTTATTTCTAACTACTTTACATCTATAAAATTATTTTTGTCAT